GCTTGCAGCTGGAAGGACATCCACTGTGTAAAACATTTGCTGGATAAGTTGGTGGTTCGTTCCACTGTTGTGACCCCTGATGAATAAAGAAACTGCACTGAAAGAAAATGAATGAATGAGTGAAAGAATGAATGAATAAAGCTTTACAAGTATCTGCATGTGTATGTGTGTACACTACTTTACATTGTAAGGCAGACCCTGCTAACCTGACAGAATACAAATGCCAAGATTATGGCGACGTGTCAAATTAAAGGGACAATTTGGAGTAATGATGAGCGTTAGGCCACTCAGTCTGAAAAGCAGCGAGTTGGAAAGAAAAAGAGGAGTGAATGATGGTGCTCCGTCTTGTTTAATATTCCTGAAAGAAAATGTGCAGTGACAGGAAGTGGGGCAGTGGGGAGAAGGCCAGAGGCAAACACAGACGCAACTGCTTTGTTAGTGTCTATTTAATGCATCAGCCAATTTTTATTTTATTTTATTTATTTATTTATTTATTTATTTTTTTTTTTTGCAGGGGTTAGGGGGAGAAAGCTGTTGTTGGAGCGGTGTTTTTTTATTTTTATTTTTTTGGTCGGTCGGTTATTTGGTTAGTGTTTATCTCTATTACCAGCAAGGGCCTTTATTTCTAGAACAAATTATTATTTTGTAGATAGACAGACAAAGCATATTCTAAAAGGGTTGTCTTTATTATCTAACAAAGTTGGATTTAAATGAATGTTAGCATTTAAATGAATGAATGAATGAATGAATGAATGAATGAATGAATGAATGAATGAATGAATGAATGCTTTGAACTGTGGCAATATACATCAAAGAGGTGAAAAAATGTGAATTTATTCTGTGCTTTAATTTCTATTTAGGTGTTAAAACACTTTAAAATAAATATGAAAATGGCGGGATTCCCTTCCTTTCTTTTACAGGCGTTGTCGCCCCTCCTATGCAATCCTCAAAACAGTCGGTTCATGTAGCTGTGCACGCTCTATAGTGATAAATAGATGCTGTTTCCCAAATTAATTTTGTACATACAATTTTAAGTGGAGCAAAAGTTGCCACTCTAGGTTTTGGGTGCGTTTTTGAACAGACATATACTCATAATAAAAATAATAATAATAATAATAATAATAATAATAATAATAATAATAATAATAATAATGATAATAATAATAATGATAATAATAATAATAATAATAATAATAATAATAATAATAATAATAATAATACACAACAATAATATTATTATTAATAATAATAATAATAATAATAATAATAATAATAATAATAATAATAATAATAATAATATCTGAACATGTCGATCTTTGTGGGTTTTCTTTGAAATACAACAATTTTGTTCTAAATTAACATAAACAGTTTGGAAAGCAATCAAATGTTTTCATTATAAAGGTGTCCATTTTTAGAGACACCTCTGTATTTTAATGTTAACAAACATAAAATCTAAATGAGAAATTTATTTGCTGCTCTTTAATCAGAATGTTTAAATTAAACAGTGAAAAAAAATGAGATTTGATAACTTGATTCAATTAATTTATAATAGCTATTAATTTTAATTTAAGGCTAAACTTTTAAATGTATTTATTTGACTATCAAATGTATGCTATTTATTTTATCCTTTTTAAAAAGTAATAAGAAGCATATTAATATTACTAATAATAGTAATAAATAAAACAGATTCAACTGATCAACAGATTTAGTAATTTGAGAATTGTATTTGTTATGTTTTTTTATAATTAATTATATAATTTTATAATTAAAATTAATTAATTAATTTATTCATTTTTATCATGCGTTTAAAGCCTAAAACATTCATTGTTTTAGCATAGAACCATACACTATTTCATTGTTATTGATTTTAAGTTTTCCTTGTAAGACTTTACAATTATGTTCCATTAGTTTACATAAGTTAATGCATGTACTAACATGAACAAACAATTAAAACAAAACAATTATCTAAGAATGTATTCATATTCAGTTTCCTTTGTTTACTTTAGTTATTGAAAATAACTATTAATTTCTTAGTTCATTTTTAATTCATAGTAATTAGCAGTTCTTTAAATAACAAGCACAACTTTTAACAATGCATTAGTAAATGTTGAACTATGATTAATACATGCTGTACAACATTGTTCATTCTTATTTCATGTTAGTACATGTATTAACTAACATTAATTAATGAAAACCCATTGTAAAGTGACAGATTTTTTGTGTGTAAATATTAAATTGATTTATTGAAGTCATTATTTAGCTTGCTTATACATTTATTCATTAATTCATCCATTTAAAAGGTTCCACCTCAATGATTTCATAGAGAAGATTTAGAGAAATTCTTTGTTTTCTGTCATGACCACCACACATAATTACAGGTTTTCTTTCAGTTGATTTGTTTTGAGTTATTTTTCAGTTCACAGCACAAACACAGTAAACAGCACAGATCAGCGAAGGATAATTTGAGTAAGTAATAGGCTGGAGAGTGAGAGAGAAGGGACGGATGATGGGAGGGTGGAAGGATCACTTCTCCTCCATTGTCTTCTTCTTTTTTTCCACCCTCTGCCTTCACTTACCCAGACAGGAAGAGTCAATGGTTTAATTACAAGGCTCCAATGCTAGTTAAATTATCAAAATTTAATTTCCACCTTTCAGCTCTCTCTCTGTCTTGCTCGTGTTTTCATTCTTTCTCTCTTCCAGCCACTCATTTAGCTCAGAGACTATATATTCTCTATATCTCGGTGTATTTCATTGGTATATGAAGGACAAAAAGTCATCATCTTGTTTAACCCAGATTAACTTTAATAGAGCAGTTAATTAGTGACAACAAATTGATTCTCCCCATTAAAAATAAATAAATAAAACAGAAGCTAACACACCTAATCCAACTAATCAAGGTGTTCGAGACTACTAGAGACTCTTAAGTAAATGGCGAGTTGGAGTTAGTTGGAAATAAACTATGCAGAGCTGTGGCTTTCCAGGAATTGAGTCTGAAACCATTGTTCTAAAGTAGGGATGGACAAATTCGGTCCTGGAGAGCTGGTTTCCTGCAAAGTTTAGTTCCAACACTAATCAGACACATGGTCTAGCTAATCAAGATCTTACTAGGCTTGCTAGAAACATCCGTGCAGGTGTGTTGAGGCAAGTTGAAGCTTAAATTAGAACACCGGCCCTCCTGGACCAAGTTTGGGCCCCCCTGTTCGAAAGCATGGGTCTCAAACTCAATTGCTGGAGGGCTGCGGCTCTGCATAGTTTTGCTCCAATTTAATCAAGCACACCTGATCCAACTAATCCACGTGGTCAAGACTACTCTTAAACACCTTAATTAGTTGGATCAAGTGTGTTTGAATAGGACTAAAGCAAAACTGCAGAGCTGCGGCCCATCAGGAATTGAGTTTGAAACCGATGTTCTAAAGGATATCAGTAAACAAGACATTTCACTTTGATAACAGCAGAAAACAAGTAAGAAAATAAAGAGTTGATCCTTTGATTTCCTGAATATCGAGTTTAGTTTAATGAACCGAATCGTATCAGAATTTTATGTCTTTTCTAGTTTAATTTGTCTCCCTGCTTTTCATCTATTTTATTTACTGAAACCAAAAGAATTAGTCTCTCTTCCTGTCAGTCATCTCCTCCCGATCAAGCTGCCTTTTGTGCCATTTCTCAATTGAGTCAACTCGAGAGGAAGAGGAAATGAAAATCAAAGCGTAGAGCACAAATTCATAAGAGCCTCCGTGTACCAGTTTATTACTCCTGTGCGCATCCTTTCACCTATTTGTTCCTTACTTACTTTGAAAAATGTGTGTGTATGTGTGTGTGTGTGTGTGTGTGTGTGTGTGTGTGTGTGTGTGTGTGTGTGTGTGTGTATCTATGTGGTTGTTTATTAGCCTGTAGCCATGTGTTCCGTTCTATCTCCCATTGGGACCATACTTGCTCCTCTTGTCCTGTTTTTGCTTTAAAGTAAACCACACAAGGAGACTTCGACGTCCTTCAGACCTCCGCACACTATTTTTAAACCACAATGCCAAGTGTGGCATCTGCACTTACTCCTGTGGGCATTAAACTTACTATCAAACATTTTTTTATTTGTATTTTTTTTTTTCATGTAAGACTCCAGTAGACAAGTGCTGTGCAGCTTATTAGTATTTTTTTGTTTATTTATATATATTTGTTTAGGTTTCCTTGTCAAACGCTACATACAGTTGAAGTCAGAATTATTAATCACCCTGAATTATTAGCCCCCCTTTTTATTTTTTCCCCAATCTGTGTTTAATAGAGAGAATATATATATATATATATATATATATATATATATATATATATATATATATATATATATATATATATATATATATATATATATATATATATTTATATATATATATATATATATATATATATATATATATATATATATTTTTTTTTTTTTTTTTTTCCAACACAATTCTAAACATAATAGTTTTAATAACTCATCTCTAATAACTGATTTATTTTATCTTTGCCATGACGACAGTAAGTAATAATTGACTAGATATTTTTCAAGACACTTCTATACAGCTTAAAGTGACATTTAAATGCTTAACTAGGTCAGTTGGTTTAACTAGGTAGGTTAGGGTAATTAAGCAAGTGCTGAAATAAAACAAATAAGACTTTCTCCAAAAGAAAAAAAAATAAAATAAACAAATAAAAAAGTCAGACATACTGTGAATATTTCTTTGCTCTGTAAAATATCATTTGGAAAAAATAAAAAATAAAAAAAAAATAAAAAGAACTAGTTCAAAGAGCGGCTGATAATTCTGTCTTCAACTATATATGTATTGCTTCAAGAGCAATTGGTTGTGTCATTTTGTATCATGTAGCGCAGTGCGCTAATCTAACTAGCGCTTACAGTATATAAGTTTAATTGAGAATTATCCCACCCCCCCAAAAAAATCTACCCATCAACCCCTCTTCTTCGACTTCTTCAGTCCAGTGACCCCCAGCAATCTCTTTTCTTGTAGCCGTTCCGCCGAGTGACCTTCTCGGTGGTGAGCCAACCCCAGGACCCGCACCAGGGCTCGCTGCAGAGTTGCTACGACAGTGGCCTGGAGGAGTCGGAGACGCCCAGCAGCAAGAGCTCGTCCGGCCCCAGACTAGGTGCCCTCCCTCTACCCGAAGACGCCTATGAGAGGACTACGCCCGATGGCAGTGTCGGTGAGGCAGAGCATATGGAAAATGGTAGGGGCAAACACAAAAAAGAAAAAAAGAAAAGATAAGGCAGAGTTAAGCCAAACAGTTAAATAAGAAGAGACATACTCATCAGTCAACAAGATAGTGAAATTCTCACAAAAGGCCACACACTCACACACGGCTACGCTGACAATACCGCTTTACAGATTCAGGGGTTTACACAGATATATGAATAGAAAGGTCTGAATAGGCAGGAATTGCTAGGTTGGTTCTATACGCTAACAGTAATTGTAGAATCTCATAAGCACTCATATATAATCATACCTATATAGTTCATTTTATTTATCTGTTTACGGGGGATAAAAGCTAAAGGTCAGTAAATATGGTGTAGCATACTCCTGACTGTGTTTTCTTGTAGATATTAAGATGAGATCTTGGCTGCTTCAGTGGAGACATATGCCGTCTAATAAACATTAATTCACTAGATCTTTGCTTGTGTGCTAGATAGATTCGGTAACACTTTTATTTTGATGGTCCCTTTGAGTATTAGTAAACTGTCTGCTTAATATTTGTTGATACTGCTCCTTCAACAGACATTTACTGACTATAAGAAACTATGCAAGTACATGTCAACTTACCCTAACACTAACCCTAACCCCAACCCAACAGTCTACTTATAATCTAATGAGGATTAGTTGGCATGTAGATACAATGTAAATTAAATTCAACAAACAGACCATCAAAATAAAGTGTGACCATAGATTCAGATATTTTATCAGCCTGGACTGTGTTGTGCTAAGCTTCAAAAAATCTGATTTCCACTTGAGTAATTTTGGCCATTTTTCAGTAATCCCTGTCAGTTGGATATGCCGCTGTGCCTATCAGGCTTTTTATATTGTAGAAGTTTAACAGGTGAAAGGCCCTGAACAGTAAGAGTGTGGATCTTGTTTCATTGTGGCTGAAGTTACCTATCCCCCCGTAGAAGCTCTCTGTGGTCAACAGTTACCTCCATTGTTAATGACCAACCAACCAATGTTTGGTTTCTATCAATGGAGCCACTGTTAGGACAGTATTCGGTAGCAGTTGTCGAACATTAAGGGCTGTCTTGTCTACATTCGATACTTTATCAGCAACAGGTGTGTATTGTGTTGAGCTCAGCGAGCCATTTTCTGTGGAATGTCTGTTCTGCTTGCTCATCGGAGCAGATTTTAGAAGAGCCGGAGCGAGTGTTTCTCCTAGAGTCAAGTTATTAGGTCCAAGGCACTAAATTTTGCCTTGTGTATCGTGTTACCCCATTGAGAGCAGGCGCAGGACACTAAAACCTCATGACCTATAGAAGGTCGTAGGTCAAAAGGGCTCACAAATGCATGCTAGAATGGGCAAATTGCTGAACGGTGAGATTTTTTAAGTTTATCGCTTGGCCCAAAAGTAGATTAAACTTGAGGCTAGGTGGGATTTGTTTTAGGCCACTTGCTGGGTAGGATCTGAAGCCATTTGCATTCAACAGCTCTCCGCCAAATTAACCTCAATTAAAGTCTGGCGCTAATTCAGAGTAAGCTCAAAATAATTGGTCACTAGGAGATCAATGCAGGGCTGATTAGATCAAAACTGCAAATCTGGCCATCGGTCAGAGCTTCTGTTGGAGACGAGGAGAGAAAATTAGGCAAACTTTTGCTGATGGGATTTGAAAAGCTGCTTTATTTTGGTATTACTTTATGTCGATGGTCACTTGAACATTTTTTATTTTTATATTATTTTTTGATTATGAGTTAAATTGCAACTACATCATAACTAATTCTCATTAGAGTGCTAGTAGACTCCTTAACACTTTATTTTGATGGTCGGTTTGAGTATTAGTAGACTGTCTACTTATAATCTATTGATACTGCTTCTTCAACGGACACGAACAAGTAGATGTCAACCTACACTAACCTTAACCCCAACATAACAGTCTACTTATAGTCTATCGAGAATTAGTTGCAACATAACTTAATTCAACAAATGGACTCTAATGTTAGTGTAAGTGTACGTGTACTTGTGAAGTTTGTTATTGTAGGTTGAATGTCTATTAATGGTGCAGTGTCCGCATATATGACCTGGACAGTCTGCAAATACTGTATTTGTAATCAATTGGTATGTACAGGAGAGGACTTAACCAATAAGCAAGGTAAGCAGCTGCTTAGGGCCCCAAGAAATAATGTTTTTTTTTTTACTTTTTTTTTGAGAGTTAAATACAATTTTAACGTAATAAATATTATTTAGTATACAATCAAATGTAATATTATTATAATAATGTATTTTTATGCAATAATGATAATTATACCAAATAAAATATCCATCATGGAGCAGTCCAGCAGTCTATATATATTTGAAGTCAGAATTATTAGCCCCCCTGCTAAGACACTTCTATACCACTTAAAGTGACATTTAAAGACTTAACTATGTTAATTAGGTTTGCAGGTTAGGGTAATTAGGCAAGTTGTTGTTTAACAATGGTTTGTTCAGTAGTCTATCGGAAAAAAAAAAAAAAAAAAAAAAACTTAAAGTGGCTAATAATTTTGTCTTTAAAATGATGTTAAAAATTTCTCCAGAAGAAAAAATATTATTTGGAAATATTTAAAAAAATTAAATAATTATCACTTCAATCTTCATTTAAAAGATTCAGTGATATAAAAACAGCAATATAAATAAAAATTTAATAAAAGTAGAGAGAAAGTATTTCAGGACTTTGGCCTCATGGCTGGAATTGCTTAGGGCTCGTAAATTACTAAATTCCTTGGGTATGTAATTGCAATGTAACTTATAGTTAACCAAATGAACAAAAGGAACCCTACATAAAGTGATGCCTATACTATATTATTAAACAACGTCATTATTCCATTCTTAAAGTTTTGAAATATTAAATGTTATCCAATTGTGCTATTGTTGCAATTTTATATTCTCAAAGGCTACAGTTTCAAAACACCATGGACATTTGAGTAGATACACTGTAAAACACAACAGTCAACTTTATCAAATGAAATGAGTGTGGTTAACCCAAAATTGACTGAAAATTAATTATATTCATTTGAAAAGAGTTTTAAACTCAGTGTTGAAAGTAATAAGTTAATTAAATACCTCATTACTTCAAAATGGAGTAAGTTCACAGTACTCATATTGATTTGTTTTTTTAACTTAAATGGTTTGTTGCAATTGGTTTTCTCAGATGGTTTGAGTTGCCTTAACTTATTGGGTTTTACAGTGCTCAGTTGGTTTGAGTTCTCTTCATTTATAGGGTTCTACTGTGCTCAAATTACTTTGTTTACTCAAATTAATTAAGTTCACAGTCCGCATTTGGATTAATTTTTGAACTTAAATGTTTATTGTAATCGGTTTCCACAAATGGTTTGAGTTACCTTAACATTTTGAGTTTTACAGTGTAGAGATTCAGACATACATATATTTTCTCATGTTTTGTTAGTGATCTTATAGTGATTGGTTCTCCTTCATATCCACCATCTCCTCTTCCATTTTCACTCGCTCACTCCACTTCACGTCTCTTCCTCTTCCCTCTCTTCCTTTTCCATTCTATCTTTCTTGTAAGATCTTTCAAGGGCAGATACAAACAAACAGATGAATCACTTTCTGATAAATAAAAGAGATGCCTCACCCTGCTGCTCCCAATCTTTAGGAGAATCAGCGTGTGTGTGTGTGTGTGTGTGAGGGAGGCTTAGAGAGGGGGAGATATGGGGAAATAGAAGAGTCAGGAGACTATGCTCGGCTTAGAACTGAGCAGAAGTGAACATTAGTACAATAGCTTATGCATTCAATGCAGTTAGAAGTTGACGCTGGAAATTTTCAAAAGCTGATGTGCTCTGCTGAGCTCATGCATTATCAAACATCACACACAGAGACTCATACACACACAGATACACAGCCGGTCACACTTGCGGCCCAGCAAAGTCACAGTCAATGTCTCTTTCATGACAGAGATGTCCTGAGTGTGTGTATATGTGTGTGTGTGTGTGTGTGTGTGTGTGTGTGTGTGTGTGTGTGTGTGTGTGTGTGTGTGTGTGTGTCTGTATTTGGGCTCTATAATTGGCTTAGGCATGCTGTGGGTTAGTTCCGCTTTGACAGAGTCTTTTGGGTCGGTGTTAGGTTCGTTTAATGCTTTTAATGCTCTCTCAGGGGACTTAGACAACATCCATACTTACTCTTTAGCGTGTGATCACAGCACTTGAGTGTGATTTGGAGATACTTACTGTTCAGTGCCGTGACTTTAAAAATACAGATTTGAGTCAGGTTTTTCAGAGAGGAGCGGGCTGTTTGGAAATTATTCAGTTATGCTTTCTGAAATCTAACATGGTCTTCTTGTATACACATTGATATTGTTAATACCCAAATGTAACCCGTTTAAAATGATAGACTAATTATTATAGGATGATACCAATCATAATGATTATGATGCTTATTAATTGCATTATATTATATTATATTATATTATATTATATTATATTATATTATATTATATTATATTATATTATTCAAAATATTGAAATATAATTGCATAAAGACAGTTTAAAATACTACTGTGTTGATGATCATGTTTATCTGACCTAACACAGTGTTTCCCAAAGTAAGGAGTCGGGATCCCTCGGGCAATCGCAGCATAATAAGCGGGTTGTCGGATTGTGACTTCCAAAAATTAAAATAGTTTAATAAAACTATTAGAATGAGCATATTTTGTCCATATGCTATTTCCATTGTATTGTGACCCCTGTGGTCCCTTTATTAGATTAAAGACACAGTAATAGGGTCAGATGCAGCAGATTGATTTCATGACAGCAGGCTAAACTTTCTAACACATTTACGGCACTCACATACATTAAAATTGAATACACACCATAACTGAACACGTTGGATGACCTCATTTTCCAAAAATTAAACAAATAATAGATCATCTATTATAGTAATTTATTATTAGTGTTTATATTAATATACACTAGTATGATAATTTACTAATATTATCTATTAGAGTTAGTGTGTGTGTGAGCCATTTTTGGGTTTGC